CTACCCTTTGGCACCACGCGTCGTTGTTCACCTGTCAAAAACATATTACAGTACGTATTGCAGGTAAATAGCTCTGGTAGAGAACGCCACATTATTTTTTTTTATCTCAACTCTTATTTTACTTCGGACATTCCAACAGCCACATTGTTACACAAGTGTGTAACCAGCCAATTACAGGAAGCCGAAGGATTCAATTATACATTAGGCCAGTGACGGTTAAGGTAGTGTGTACCATACTTTCTTCGCCCGAGACTTTGCTGCAATGGGCAGCTCCTCATTTAACCCTCACACCCGATTTCTCGAGTATTTGGCTGAGTGGACCGGGGGGCTGCATAGACCACTCAGGATCCTTAGCTGAGCGTCGACGACGCTCACCCCACGGCTAGTGACAGAGTCGGGAATCGAACCTGGTACCTCAAGCAATACCAGGCCCGGATTAACCAACTGAGCCACTAAGCCGTTAAAGCCACTAAGCCGTTAAGTGTGCTAATACAGTGTTTAGTACAGTATATTAATATAGTACGGTACACCCTAGGATTGCACAAATCATTGTAAGTGAATGATCAAAATTACCTCTGTCTGCGTTAAATCCTTCATATGCAAGTAAAGGAGTGGCCCCTGCACCGGTACATGGAAGGACTCGGAAGAGTTCTCATACTGGGCGACCAGGACTTGCAGCCACCCAGAGACGATGACGTCATTGAGCAGTTGCCTCGGACCAAGCGTCAGGAGATTCCCAGACTGCAGCTCAACCCCGCCTAACAACCGCTTCTCTATCGTAGCAACCTGGATGACATATTTGAATAATGTGATATACAGATTTCCTGAAGAAGATTACACACATACTTTAATTTAGCAAGTTTTGTGCCATCATTACATTTTACTAAGTACTAAGTTCAGTCTTTCTGTACATATTTCTAAATTTGGATTAGAATACAATGGCGGAGTCAAACTTACGTTGCTGTCTTCGAAGTCCATATGGTCATCGACCTCTATTCGGATCCTGTCGACAGAAGAGGGCATCTCTTCTATTGTGTCAACCTGAATGTTTAAATATACCTGACAATCTTTAATTGAACAATGTTTTTTGCACTCATGAACTTAAACAAAGTACTAATAATCCCTGTGCTAAGGGATCACTGCAGCACGTAATAGAAGGAGAAACTTACCGTTTTGGGGGATCGAGGCGGAGGAGAACTGTGGACTACAATTCCGAAGTCGTACGGGTCCTGCGATTCCTGCGATGACTGCGGCCTCAACTGAAACGCCCATGTGCAGGTTAACGTCTGGTGCCTGAAACAGTATTCTTGGTGAGTTTTGCTTAGTCGGTTAGACAGTGGATTTCAATGATTAAAAATGGTTAATGATTTTATCCAAATTGTTAACATACGTACTAGGAACTCAAATTGTTTTTTAGCTCAGCCCAGTATACGTACCTCACAAGATTGTAGCTGTTGCTGAAGAGCTCCCAACAGCGAGGACACTTGACCTCTTCCACCCTCATGTGCACTTTCTGAAAATGCTGCTTCAACTGAAAAAGTTAGTGCCTATCAGGAGAAGCGTAAACCTGCACCATTATATGAAAATCAACGGCAAAACCGTACTAGTCTTATCGGCCGTTCAACTAATAAAAATAGCTCACCAGGTACTGGTTGTCACCCTTGTACTGGCAGCCTTTGTAAGTACATGGAATAGGGTCCTGGTTGCATGGGTAGCTGTTGTGTCGCGATAATGTACTGGAACAGTTGAACGACGCTCCGCATTTTCCTGGAAAATATATATGTTGCTGTTTTTACAAAGGAACACAACACGACATGGACAGCAATCTCCAAATTACTAAATTAAGAACTAACAGCCTCAATGAATGTGTGTACAGTAAATTTTATTAGATATGCGGCTGAATTGTAACAGGATGTCCGAATTTGAAACGTCGATTCCTGATTCACTCAGTCCGAGTTGAAAAATCACGAGATCACTTTAAACTGTTGGGAAGGTTACAAAACTTTATAAGGTGTTTTTTCCACTGTTACCAGCATACATGTGCGGCGATAAGATGTTCACGGAAAAACAATTGTGACTATGTATTTACCCACCACAATTGAACAAGTTTTTCAATCCGTGCTTTGAAGCCATGTGGTTCTTGTAGCTTCTGTTTCTGACAAATTGTACAGGGGTCTCGCACGTTACGCACCAAAACGGCATATTCAGATTCTAAGACTAAGAGGAAATTAAATTCACGTCGATCTATGCACAGATAATTTTTAGGCACGGACACAGTAATCATGGTAGCATGGATTCAAACAGACAAGCAGTGTTATTTGCAGTAGCACCAGTTAACGATAGAGTACGTTTTCAGTTTGCGGGCCTGAATGTAAAGGACCGTCAATGTGGCCAAAAATACGATACGAATATGTACGGTACCAGCTAAAATATCTGCCAGTTACATTCAGTACAAGTAGAATTTTCATTCCATTTAATTTTAGGGAAGGGGAAGTTAAACAAGTAAATAAAATTTACCACTATTAACGGTTGAAAATATATATTGAACACGAAGCAGCACTACATCTGCAAAAAAGGGAACGAAGGTAAATTTAAACTAGCGTCTAAGACATGGCTTTGGCTACACAAGCAGTAAAGACGAAAGCATATGCAGAATGTTAGTAACACTAGCATCATAACACCAATAGTTAGATTTGTAGTTGCACCAAGCTCTACAGGTGATAATGTTTGCAATATATAGTAACAAAGTATCTGCATGCAGGATTTTAAATAGAAATTTTAATAGCGTACAGAAAAGCTCTAACCCATGATCCGAAATAAAATGCAGCTGGTAAACGAACTAAAGAGGGGTCCACTGAACGAACCGGACGCGGATCACGCACGTTACGTGCACAGTTAATTTTTAAGCACGGACACAGTAAATCATATATGGTAGCATGGATTCAAACAGACAAACAGTGTTATTTGCAGTAGCACCAGTTAACGATGGAGTACGTTTTCAGTTTGCGGGTCTATATGTAAAGGACCGTCAATGTGGCCAAAAATACGATACGAATATGTACGGTACCAGCTAAAATATCTGCCAGTTACATTCAGTACAAGTATATTTCGAATAGAAATTTTAATAGCGTACAGCAAAGCTCTAACCCATGATCCGAAACCACTGAACCATTTCAACAGCGCACCTATTACCCGTTATCTATTTTATCAATACTTGAACTTCCGTGTTATCTCATCTAAAATAAACACCCCGCACACAAAATGAATTCCATTGACTTTGAGGGCAAGTGCTGCATTTAAAATTACACAAACTCTTATTACAATTGTGAAAAGGATTCCAAGTTTACATATTTAAAACGGCAATGACTAATTACACAGCACAAATTGAAATTTTGAGTGTCTAACCTGGTAAAAATGAACTGCACCATGGTGAACTAGTACTTCAACTCTGTCAGGTATAACCATGCTTGTCCTCCTGTATACTGCCTCCTCCTGGAACATACAGTTCTTGTCAGTGAAGTTGTGTCCTAGATTCTGTTTTTAAACACTTACTGTCAAAGTTAAGCAAAGCAGCACTCATGGATATATGCATTATTCCTTTGGTTCCAGTTGGTGTAAACTTAAAGCACAGTTCATCATTTGGATCTCACTCAGTTCACAATCGCGACCTCATATTAGAGTAAATGTTTTTAATAATACGCAATTGGACAACTAAACCGAAACATGCTATAACTAAACAATGTTAATGTTCCGTTCCTGATTGAACAGTTAGCATCACAGTCAGTTGGAGGAGCGACCAACACACTATCAAGATCGGTTGTTTATCTTAAACCCCCCCCCCCAACAGTTTGTATTGTACGTGGGCAATGGGCACGGTTATATAAGTACAACAATCACACTATTTCAAGTTCATGACGTAATCATGGCGTGTTTACCGCGGTGCAGATATTGCACGCGGACCTTGCCGAGCCGAGATGTGGTAGAGATAACAATGTGAACAGAGGGTCAAATAAAGATAAGGAAAGTAAACACACGATATCGATCTGCTGACTCGTCCTGTTTGTGATTGGACGGATCGGTGTCACATGACATAACACCTCTATTACAAGTGGTCGCTCGTTGAGGATGACGGAGCACATCAGGGCTGCCCGTCGTCAGAATAAATTTAATTCAGTTGTTAGTATAATTGTTATATTGTGGTGTTGGTAACCTACCTTCGTTGTGTTTCTTTTGACTTTGTTATCATGCTGTGCTCTGGAAATTGTGATAGTACCTGTCCGATTTGTTAAGGAGACGATCTCCCTAGCTGTTCATATGTTGCAGGATCAGAATGTTCGTGAGGAACAGTCACCAAAAGTGAGTTACTTACCTGCTGTGTGTTTTCGTACTCTGGTCTTCACTCAAGTTGCAAAGCTGCAATAAACGTATCGCAAAGAACATTTATATCTGAAAATTGTGTTAGTACCAGTTTGATCAGTTAAGGTGAGGATTGCCTCGATCTGTCGGGTTCAGCTTAACTGCCTAGGTCAAGAGCTGTAGAACCGAAGGATCAAAACATATGTTGCTTGTTGCTCGTATCAACTATAAAACATCAATTTTGAGGGATAAGGAAGTGTTTATAGGTTCTGAAACCTAGCTAAATCGATTTTTCGTGCAATTTTAGGTCAGAAACAGTCATCAAAATGAGTTAATAAGAAGGTCGATTTCTCGGTTATTTTTGAGCTTTCGTTCAGAAAATAATTCGGGGCCTTCAAAGGGGGGTAACAAGAAAGCGTTACAAGTGTTACAAGCCTTCTATAATACAAAATGTGTATCATCTCTTCAACCCGCTGAACAGGTGCTTACCCTAAAAATGTAAACAAATGTGTTTCACCTCCTCAACCCGCTGAACAGGTGCTTACTATTAAAGTAAACAAATGTGTTTCACCTCCCCACCAGTATCCACATCTATAATACAGGGATATATAGATTAGTTCTCTAGGAAAATATCCTGACCGCACCTGATGCACTGTATCTGTAGATAAGCAGTCAACAGAACAAAACACAACGTCCGGGCACTTTGGGCATGGCAGTGGGGCTCTGAAATATAATAATTTATATTTATATTATATCTCAAATTCTAAATCCGGTACGGCTCTGCACACATGATATCTCTCTCTGCCATGAAACATGGCTAACCTTTTAAACTATGATTTAAAACCTAAACCTAAACTAAAACTCAACTGGGCTCTCCTATGTCACCTAACTAAACCTGAAACCAATAAGTAATTTTAGATTATTATATTTTTCTATATGATTTTACATTTACACTTTTACATTCGTTGCTAAATTGTAGCTCTCTTATCAGTAGTTCTGTGTGCGCCTTGAATTATCTCTCTGGCTTTGTAGATTTGTATACATTGTTTGTACATTTTCTGTACAACGTGTACGATGCCTTATCCGCTACAGAGTGAACATATTGAGATGGTAGATGATGCTATGGTTGAGAATGGCCAGTTCCTTACGGAATATGTGAATCAGATACACATGGCGACGGACAGTATTTTCAAGGAGATTAGAAGTAAAATCGGAGTTGAACACAACGATGATGTGCGATTTGATAAACTGAACCAGAGAAGTGTGCCTAGAGAAAGGTTATCAGAATGGTTAGAAACAATGTGCTGGATACTGAACAATTATTGTGGACCATTGTTACAATCCGCCTCAGAAACAGCTGGCGACAACCGAATGTTCAGGAAAGAAAAAATAGCAGATGCGACCAAAATCATAGAACTACAAGAGAAGTTACTCACTAAGCAAGAAGAAGATATGGCAAAAATCAATGATTTGCAGGAGAAGTTAGCTTCGAAGAAGGATGACGAGATTGGAACTGTGAAAATTGCAGCTCAGAAAGAGATCAAAACCTTTTCGTCTCTGTTGAAAAACACGTGCGAAAACGCCTTTGCACCGAAGAAGATCCAAGCTGCAGTGAAAAGGGTTGCCCTAGAAGATGATCGAAGTAAAAGTCTGATTATCTTTGGGCTTCCAGAGACGGAGGAAAACCTGGATGCTAAGGTATCTGGTATTTTGTTGGACCATCTCAACGAAAAACCGAAAATTTTGAGATGTAAACGAGTTGGAAAGGACACAAGTGAACGAGTCAGGCCAGTGAAATTTATTTTGTCAAGCTCAGATCAAGCTCGTACCATCTTGAGCAAGACTAAGCTACTAAGACATGTAGACGGGTTTAGTTCAGTTTACATCACTCCTGATAGATCAGCTGCAGACAGGATGGCCTACAAGAAAGTTGTCGACCAGCTACTCAATAAAAGGACAGCAGAGCCTGACAAAGTTCATGTTATCAGGAACTTTAGAGTCATTAGCTCGGAGAAGGAGCCTTTAGAGTGATATATTTTCTATAAGTACCATATTATATGTTTTAATTCATTGATTAATTAATTTTTTGCTAGGGCCCAATGTTATTGCGGGTGTGGTATTTTTTACTGCACACTACTGTGTTTTGGTTACCCCTCTTTCAATACATAATTTGGGTTTCATACTGGGATGGTGGAATTTAGGGCTATATCGGGTTTCTCCTTGTATAACTGGGTTTATTTAGAAGCATTCAATTCTGTATAATTATGTATTGTTTGAAAAGTTTAAGATAAAATTGGGCGACATCTGTCCGACAGCGACATCTGTCCGACAGCCGAATTAGCGATTTCGGACAGATGTCGCTGTCGGACAGGAGTCGTTTTTGGCGACAGATGTCGTTTTTTTCTGGTACCCTGAGTCGGACAGATGTCGCTGTCGGACAGGAGTTGTGTTACCTTTCTATATTTATATAACAAGTATATTGACGTAGTGGATGGTTGAGGGGGTTTCAAGCACAGGTCACTCTCAAATCCTAAAGATAAGCAGTGGCCTTCGGTACTTGAAACCTCTTCAAACCTCCCCTGATTTATTTATTATTGATATTGTTTGATTGTGCCGTAAAAATAAATATTTGTTTTATTTTAAAAAAATATTCGTTTTATTAATAATAATAGTTATCTGATAATATAAAATATAATAATAATATCAGATTTAGAAACTGGAACTTGTGGGGGACTAAAAATTCTTATTAAAAAACACATCTTTAATAACTAGATATTATGACAATAGAACACAGTTAACACATGTTCTACTGACACTGCACCTGCAAATATTGAGACAGTACTGACAGTGAGAAGACCACTTTCCAGGCAGAACAGTCCACACCTGCGCCTCTTCCACTACCAGCACGTCACCTGTAATACTTCATCAGGTCGTTATCTTTACATACAGATCAGGTAACCTAGTAACCTTGTTGCCCTGGTAACCTGGTAACCTGGTAACCTGGTAACCTTGTTCTTACCAATATGTAAATCCTCGTTAACCACGACGAATCTCCGTCTCTCCTCTGACGGCCCTAAACACCTGGTACCCTAGTAACCTTGTTGCCCTGGTAACCTGGTAACCTGGTAACCTTGTCCACACCTGCGCCTCTTCCACTACCAGCACGTCATCTGTAATACTTCATCAGGTCGTTATCTTTACATACAGATCAGGTAACCTAGTAACCTTGTTGCCCTGGTAACCTGGTTACCTTGTTCTTACCAATATGCAGGTCCTCTTTAGCCACGACGAATCTCCCTCTCTCCTCTGACCCTAAACACCTGGTACCCTAGTAACCTTGTTGCCCTGGTAACCTTGTTCTTACCAATATGCAGGTCCTCTTTAGCCACGACGAATCTTCCTCTCTCCTCTGACTCCGCTATTTGTAACTTGCTGGTTACAAAGTTATATTCCTCTGATAAAACAGTTTGTGTAACCAAGTCAGGTGGTGTACACTGTCTCGGAGGGTTGTGACACTTCTCCCCAGTACTGGTATTTACTGACTTCTCCTCAGTGTTCACTGAAGTACTGGTACCTGGGGCCTGGTTCAGTACCCGGAGGATTTCCCTTTTCAGTTTAGTTAGAGGACACTGCTCTATTGGGTCAAATCTCCGTGTTATTGGACTGAAGTGGGTTTCATCGTTTGAATTTTGTTCTTCTTTAGAGTTCGAATTGAAAATAGATTTGAAGCACCTCTTACAACAGATTGATTTTAAGAGCTTTAGATCTGCCCTCATTTCATAATTGAGGCTCAACTTTGAGAGCACGACAATCCTCACAGCAACAATCAACACAAGTGACTCAGTAGCAGCAGAGTTCTTGATAGCTTCACAAAGTTCAGATAAAGCAAGCAGATGATTCCCCTCCTCAGCTAGCACCTCCGCAAACCCTACATGTGCTCTAGCTAGCTCGTCAGATTTGTAAGACTTAGAGAGAGTGGGAGAGAAGGCTGTATCTGAGGAGTGTAAGTGAGAGGTCACGTGGGAGAGGAGGGTTTCCTCAGAGCTCCTGTTATTCTGCACTTGTAGTCGTGTGAGGTGGTTCCGGAGGAAGTCTGAATATTGGCGCTCAAACTGCGAGTACATTCTTCCAGTACTACCACTATTAACACCACTATACTATCACTATTAGTATTACTAGTACTAGTAGTACTATCAGTATTACCACTATAACTACCCTACTGTTACTACTACTAGTACTATACTAGTACTGCTACTACCGCGAGTACATTGCTCTGAAATAAAGCGTTTACATATAAACTTTTGGAAATGGTTTTATAGCAATGTTTTGATCGTTTAAACTTAAAGCCTAAAGAGTAACGACAATATTTGACATAAGGCACCATGTGAGAACAACGACTAGATATTTATTTAACTTTCGCAAATAAAATGTATAATTTCAAATTAGCTGAATAACACTAATTAATTTAACAGTTTCAAACGACATAACGTACGTGAAGGAGGAAAATATTCTGGTTCAAGTAAAAGTAAGTCAAGAGAGAAGTGTAAGTTAAAAGTGTGAGTTAGAGCCCAGAGTGCCTATTATATATAGAATATAATATAGTATATATAGAATGTGTTGCTGAGCGTGGAGGCGAGTCTGTCAACACATCAGAACACAATGTACGTGTAGTGTGTAGTGTACTTGTAGTGTATTCTAGCTCTTATTTTACATTTAACTTAAATACCATATATATATTAATATTAATAGTTACGTTTTCTTTACTTTAGAGACTTATTGAGTTTCTCAGGGTTCACTTCAGTTTAAGATTATAACGTCTTCGAGGATGCGCTATTTATCAGAAACAAAACAAAACTACAATGCACGTTTGTACTTTATTATTATCACTTCGAGATGGCCAGGCCTACTCTCATGCTGTCTATATGTGATGATTAATTCTGAAAAACTAGGGACAACTGGGGAATGATCCCAGAACCTCGAGATTTCGCGTCTCTTGCTCTACCAATTGAGCTACTGACCCTGATTCTCAGAGCGAAATCACCACTCATATACAGCACAATTTCATGCTTTGTGTGGAATATCATTTCTACTTTACTCTCGAATATTATCATGTTTTTTATAACCGAAAGAATTCAATTAATTCCTTGGCCCATCCCAGTAGGAATTAAATTAAACAATTCGACTACTGCTCATTACTACACGTTAGCATGGCCTTGTAAGTTTATAATTACCCGAAGGAATTATACTAAGTGGTGACTGGTATCATTGTTAATTTATTAACTCAGATTGCTTTTCTGAAAAGGTATAACACTTGCACGGTGACTCCTTATATGGGCATCACGTGACTCCCAATAAGTAGGATTTACTCCTTAAATTTGACGCTTTAGCCGCAGGTGTAAAGTTGCTTAGCATGCCCATAAAGAGTGGTTACAACTGTATTGTTGGTTCAGTATTGTTATCTTGAAGGGCCTGTCGACAGCCCCCATTGTGACTAGTCTGGTAGCATGACAGCTAAATAGGAAGGTGATGATTAGCACCAGAATCAGGCGACATGACCGGGTTTATCTAACAATTAAACTAAACAGAGATAATCAAACTGAAAGCTTTAATTACTCATCCCGTCAGATTAATAACTTGGTGGCAGTCTACAGCAATATCACGTTAATAGCAGGATCACTAACTATGCAATTAAAATGTAACCGTGAAGTATTTTATAATGAATTGCATACATTTGACCTACCGTCAGTAACACTAACAATTAAAGTGACTAACTAAATCTAAATCAGTAAGTGTAAACCTTACAGCAATGTACGTGTTATTAAGGAACATAACATGAACGATCAGCGATCATCGGAGAAAAGCTTGCAAAATAGATGTGGATGGCGCAAGACGTAATTTGTAATTGAGGTACTGGTTAAGATATAATTCATTCCTTAACCGTGAACAGTATTACAAATCACACTAATAAACTACAAACTACACTAATAAACTACTTAACAAGATGTTAAGGGGGGGGGGGGGGGGGGGGGGGGGGGGGGTTCACCCTGATTTTTTGTAAATTTGGCCGCCAATTTAAAAAAATTTGGCGGCCAAATTCTGAAAAATGCCTGGCAAATTTTGGAATTTGGCCGCCAAATTTTTTTAAAGGCCTAACTCAAAATTTCAATACAAGAGATAAGGTCGAAATGCGATTCTACGTTGATTCAGAAAATTTCATGTAAAAATATTGAAACCCTATTGAGTTCTATTGTTTTGAGCGAAATCAGTTTTGCAAATATCGCGAACTGAGATATGGACGATTTTGTTCATTTTTTGTGATTATTTGAACACAGAATCCACAGTTAGGTAGATACTGAGCTGATAATCATAGAAAATGTGTAGTATAAGCTTACCTTTCATATAAACTTGGTTTCATTAAAAAATATTGATATTTGACCAATTTATGGGCCAAAATCGATCAAATTTGGTGCGTATGCCCAAATATGGTCATATGGTTTTGGCTCATAACTCAGTCATTTTTTGCCCAATCTTGATGAAAATTCATATACTTGTTCAGGGGACCACTAGCTACAAGAAGAGCACATAAAATCTGGGTTTTGTGCATGTTCAGGGTAATTGGCTAAATTGGGCCTAATTTGAACCAAATATGGGCGTGGCTGCCCCGCGGGCACCGTTTGGCGGTTGGGGTCGGGGACCCCCTCAAAAGTTCGGTCATCGGTCTTAGTTTGTTGGTCAACTGCTATCTCGAAACCAAGTTTCACAAAAAAATCAGGGTGAACCCCCCCTTAACTGAAACACACAGGCAGAACCAAATAAGTGCTGACTGGCACGAAACAAAAGCAAATAACTAAACACAAATACTACCATAATAGTAACACACTGAACCATGCACTAACGTGTGTATTGTAGTGATGGCCAGAGGTTGGATGAGGGGATGGTTGAAAGACGATTTCGAACATTACCATTTTTGGTCAATACAAATTACAAGTTGTAGATTTTATCTAAAATGTTTACTTAAAAATTAAACCTTTGCAGGACACGCAACCTAAGGACAAAACAAACAGTGGTATTAAGCAAATATAATGGTATCATCATTTGTCTTTTTAACAGACTTTTTACCAACATACAACAAGTAATTGTATACATGTACAATATTGATAAATCGTCGATTTTACCAACAGATGAAGAAACATACAATACGTAAGAACTGGATGGCACTATAGACGGAAAATGCTCGAACGTGTACCCAATTAGGATCCAATGTATTTCAGTGCATATAAAGGAAACAAACAACGGAAGAAACAATTAAACTTACCCAGTTTCACTTGAGTAACTTATAATATACTAGAGTGTACTATATAGTATATTCATGATATTGTTTTTATGTTGTACATCACCAACCTTGCTTGAAGTAAGTGGGAGGAGGAGGGGAGGAAGAGATAAGTGACACTTCCCCGTACTCCTACATACAACAGTTCTCCATCAGTAGGAAGGGAGGAGGAGGGGAGGAAGAGAGAAGTGACACTTCCCCGTACTCCTGCATACAACAGTTCTCCATCAGTAGGAAGGGAGGAGGAGGGGAGGAAGAGAGAAGTGACACTTCCCCGTACTCCTACATACAAGAGTTCTCCATCAGTAGGAAGGGAGGAGGAGGGGAGGAAGAGAGAAGTGACACTTCCCCGTACTCCTGCATACAACAGTTCTCCATCAGTAGGAAGGGAGGAGGAGGGGAGGAAGAGAGAAGTGACACTTCCCCGTACTCCTGCATACAACAGTTCTCCATCAGTAGGAAGGGAGGAGGAGGGGAGGAAGAGAGAAGTGACACTTCCCCGTACTCCTGCCTATAACAGTTCTCCATCAGTAGGAAGGGAGGAGGAGGGGAGGAAGAGAGAAGTGACACTTCTCCGTACTCCTGCATACAACAGTTCTCCATCAGTAGGAAGGGAGGAGGAGGGGAGGAAGAGAGAAGTGACACTTCCCCGTACTTCTGCCTATAACAGTTCTCCATCAGTAGGAAGGGAGGAGGAGGGGAGGAAGAGAGAAGTGACACTTCCCCGTACTCCTGCATACAACAGTTCTCCATCAGTAGGAAGGGAGGAGGAGGGGAGGAAGAGAGAAGTGACACTTCCCCGTACTCCTGCATACAACAGTTCTCCATCAGTAGGAAGGGAGGAGGAGGGGAGGAAGAGAGAAGTGACACTTCCCCGTACTCCTGCATACAACAGTTCTCCATCAGTAGGAAGGGAGGAGGAGGGGAGGAAGAGAGAAGTGACACTTCCCCGTACTCCTGCATACAACAGTTCTCCATCAGTAGGAAGGGAGGAGGAGGGGAGGAAGAGAGAAGTGACACTTCCCCGTACTCCTGCATACAACAGTTCTCCATCAGTAGGAAGGGAGGAGGAGGGGAGGAAGAGAGAAGTGACACTTCCCCGTACTCCTGCATACAACAGTTCTCCATCAGTAGGAAGGGAGGAGGAGGGGAGGAAGAGAGAAGTGACACTTCCCCGTACTCCTGCATACAACAGTTCTCCATCAGTAGGAAGGGAGGAGGAGGGGAGGAAGAGAGAAGTGACACTTCCCCGTACTCCTGCATACAACAGTTCTCCATCAGTAGGAAGGGAGGAGGAGGGGAGGAAGAGAGAAGTGACACTTCCCCGTACTCCTGCATACAACAGTTCTCCATCAGTAGGAAGGGAGGAGGAGGGGAGGAAGAGAGAAGTGACACTTCCCCGTACTCCTGCATACAACAGTTCTCCATCAGTAGGAAGGGAGGAGGAGGGGAGGAAGAGAGAAGTGACACTTCCCCGTACTCCTGCATACAACAGTTCTCCATCAGTAGGAAGGGAGGAGGAGGGGAGGAAGAGAGAAGTGACACTTCCCCGTACTCCTGCATACAACAGTTCTCCATCAGTAGGAAGGGAGGAGGAGGGGAGGAAGAGAGAAGTGACACTTCCCCGTACTCCTGCATACAACAGTTCTCCATCAGTAGGAAGGGAGGAGGAGGGGAGGAAGAGAGAAGTGACACTTCCCCGTACTCCTGCATACAACAGTTCTCCATCAGTAGGAAGGGAGGAGGAGGGGAGGAAGAGAGAAGTGACACTTCCCCGTACTCCTGCATACAACAGTTCTCCATCAGTAGGAAGGGAGGAGGAGGGGAGGAAGAGAGAAGTGACACTTCCCCGTACTCCTGCATACAACAGTTCTCCATCAGTAGGAAGGGAGGAGGAGGGGAGGAAGAGAGAAGTGACACTTCCCCGTACTCCTGCATACAACAGTTCTC